ATTCAGAAGGGTTTTTCACGTAAAAATTTTGGTGTCATTGTTACTCTTTTATTCTTGTTAATTACCGTATCTCGGTGCTACATTATTATTCCGCTTTATTACCGTGAATATTATTTTGGTAAGGGGTTTATTCCCAACAGTTAAATCTTCAAGGGTTCTCAATATCAATCATCTCAAGTAGCTTTCCAAGGCATTTTATCTTTCACCAGTGTTGGATCATCAAGACAATGGATAGATCAGATGCAAAATCATTTTTGTAGATCTAATCTGGATGGGATAATCTACTGAGTTCTGTCATTGGATTACAGTTGCCTAACTACAGTTATACTAACCAGAATCAATGATGGAGTTCCCTCGAAAAAGATATTAAATTACAGCTAAGTTATTATATTAAGAGAGATATGAATAGGATATTACTCTATTCAGTTATTATGTATACTTTGCAAGCAGCTTTTGATATACAACTATCTTTTTAATTTGTACTGCATGCAATTACTGGCTAGACTAGGTAAATTTTCTGTTTTTACTTGCACGAATTGGGTTATTACATAATACCCTACCAAAACTTTGTCCAAATCCACTTTACTTAAAATCTAATCCATCCAAATTTGTTGCATCGTGATGGGCGATGGAATCCAGGTTTAGCTTGCCACCCTTTTAGCCTTTTGTGATACTTGACATTTTATGGATGAAATAAAAACACCATGAGATTTCTTTGTAGATTCAAGTCTATTGACCTGAAATTGTCCGATTTGCAGAGAGTGCATCAGTAGTTCTTCCATGGGCAACAAGGATTAAAGTTGCTATAGGTGCTGCTCGAGGACTTTCTTTTTTGCATGACGCGGAACCACAAGTTATCTATCGTGATTTTAAAGCTTCTAACATCCTTTTAGACCCGGTATCGTGATTTTTTTGGCTTTTAACCAAATTTCTCTGATCATTTGGTTGCCTTTAATTTCATTTTTTTTTTGTGGGTTTATGTGAGGCCAACATGTATGATTTGATTGGCGGGTAGATGAGTACTTCATAATTGAATTTCATATATTCTTCATGTAGGATTTTAATGCAAAACTTTCAGATTTTGGCTTGGCAAAATCTGGTCCAACTGGTGATCATTCTCATGTATCTACTCAAGTAATGGGTACTCAAGGATATACTGCTCCTGAATATCTTACTACAGGTTTATTTATTTTCAATCAAGTCAAGATTTCTTCATGTGCTATTGCTTTATTTATTAAATTCCTGATTGCACTTCTGATCATCCGGGTTGGTCATATGATACTCAAAGTGTATAAAAAATGTGAATATTATCGGCTCCTAGTTTGACCACATCTTTTTCATCTTTGGCAGGTAAACTAACAGCCAAATGTGATGTTTATAGCTTTGGGGTTGTTTTACTCGAGCTGCTTACTGGTCGTCGTGTAATGGATAAAAAGAAGACTGGTGCGGAGCAAAATCTGATCGAATGGGCAACTCCGTATCTGCATGACAAGAAAAAGTTGTTCAGGATTATGGACACTAAGTTAGAAGGGCAATATCCTCGAAAAGCAGCAACGATAGCAGCCACTCTTGCATTACATTGTGTACATCCTGAAGCAAGGGGCAGACCAGATATGTCATTCGTGTTGAGTGCTTTAGAACAGCTCCCTTCTAAATATACGTCTGGTCGTCCATTTGGAGATAGGAGAAAGGTGTCTAAATCTCGACACAAATCTGAATCTTCACTTCCAGGCAGTGTTAGGACAAAACACGCCTCTCGTGTTTCAGAAGGTACAAAATCCCCACGAGAACGATCATAACAGGCAGTTTTCAGTGCAATGGAGTTTTTTGGCTAATTGTATTTAACTGTGTCATTTTGTATCATGCTTATTTTAAAGTAGCAACACCCAAATATGATCTTGTATATAACAATTATTAACTATACCGCAAGAACTCAGCCTAAGTTGCAGGGGTTACTTCTAGTAACAATCTAAATTAGCTCCAGTGTAGCGTTCGCTTATTAAAAAAAATCACTAGCTCCATTCTCGACATTGCAAATTCTTTCAATTCCTTTTTCACTGTAGCCTCATAATAAGGATCTTTGTTTATTATTGCAAATTACATGTTGGAAAAATATAATGGCAGTTGATTTAAAGGGAAAAGAAGCAAAGCAATGAGAGGGTTATAAATATGCAAAGGGAATATGGTGTTTTTATTGTTGCACTCATGGAGCCGTTTCAAAAAACAAGGTATATTCAGAGGTGTATAGAAGGAGACTGGGAATGGAAGCTGCAATCTCAAATGTGAATGGGAAGATATGGTTATTCTTTAATGTTGTGGTGGAGTGGGAGTTGTTGATGGATACAGAACAACAAGTGAGCATCACGGTGTATCATCAAGTGTTAGGTAAGCGCATTATGATGACTTTTGTATATGCAAAGTGTTCCTCATTGGAAAGACTAGAGTTATGGGATAATCTTTACTATTATCTAGCTAGTGATATGGAGTTGCCTTGGTTGGTTGGGGGGATTTCAATGTGATTCTTGGTGAGGATGAAAAAATAGGAGGATTGCCAGTGTATCCCCCAGAATATGAAAAATTTACTTTTTGTATTAAATCTCGTGGACTTTTTGATCTTGGCTACAAGGGCAGTCCTTTCACTTGGTGGAATGGAAGGCCAAATGAAGAATGCATTTTCAAAAGATTGGACAGAATCTTTGTGAACTTGTCTTTCCAAACTCTGTTCCCTAATATAGAGGTGGAGCACCTAATCAGAACAGACTCAGATCATGCACAAATATTGATAAGTTGTGGAGAGGAGGCAATGCAATTTGTTAAACCATTCAAGTTTTTGAACTTTTGGACAAAACATGACACCTTCATGGAGGTTGTGAGGCAAAATTGGATGGCTGACTTCATAGAGGATCCATTTTTGACGTTCAAGCAGAAACTAAAAAGGGTTAAAATTGCTCTTTCTAAATGGAGTAAACTTACCTATGGTGATATTGTAAGCACGTGATTTTTGACCCTCCCCGAGAATTTTCACATTTTTAGCGTGAATATGTGAAATTGGGTCTAGTATAGCTATTTTAACTATATTTACTTTATTTCGTTGCAAAAAGAAAATTTTCAAAAAATATATATATAAATTTTAGTTTATGTATCTCTCATAAACTTGAAAAATACAAAAATTGCACTTTATTTTTGTACTTTATATAATTTCGAAAATTACAAAAAATATAGTTTTATTAAGGTTTTATAGTCATTTTTAACTTTGAAAAATACAAAAATATTACCTCATATTTTATCTTAATATTTAAAAACGAAAATTACAAAAAATAGTTTTATTAATATTTTGTAGCTATTTTAAATCTTGAAAAAATATTTAAAAAAAAATATATAGTTTTGTTTAAATACTAGTCTTATTTTTGGTAGTTATTTTGCTTACATAGGACTAGTTAAGCAACGTGTTCCTATTTCTCGGGTCCGGGCAAAAGAATAATATTCGGGTTCAAACTACCCGGTTTTAGGCCTAATTTCGGACCTAACCCATAATAAACCGTGTCCAGGACACATGGGGAACCCCACCACGCGTGGGGGACACAAACCTTGAACCCCACCACGCGTGGGGGACACAAACCTTGAACCCCACCACGCGTGGGGCTCATTTTTCTTAACAAACCCATTACAAAACACGGACAAAGACTTGGAAGAAAGGAGGACTTTTGAATTTTTTTGGAGAAAGAAGGTACTGTTCACTCATCTTCTTCCTAATAAAGAAAGAAGAGCTAAAAAAACCCTACTGTCGAAGACCTCCATCAAAAAACCCTTCAGCTCCCATCACCACCAGTCCCCCCCTCGTCATCACTGTTCATCTTCTTCCTCGTTTGGAAGAAGACCGGAACCCTAGCAAGAAAAACAAACACCACCGTTCCACCACCCGTCACCGCCCCCTCACGACCACTCATCCTCTTCTTAGTTCCCTCAAACTAGTCGTAAAACCAGCTCCATCCACACGAAAATGGTGGCTCAAACCCCATTGCGCTTCATCCTTCTCACATGAACCAATCCGTCAATCCTCCATTAAATCCGGCGACCCCAGCTGTTGCACCGCCGTCCCAGCTGNTAAATGAGAATATTCGATATTTATGAATGTCAACAATGCAATTTTTGTTGTTGTGTTAAAAATGTTTATTCTATGTTTAGTTACTGCATGCTTAAAGTAAATGTGAGCATATAAACGAGGTTATTCTATTTTTCATTTTTACCTTGGATATTATTACCTGTTAGAATCGTTGTTTTTTTTGTTTAACCTCGAATGATTTCATTGGTAAAAAATCGTAGTTGCCTTAAGTTTTCCCTCAAATAATAAAAACGAGACGAGTTTCGCCAAATAAAAATGTACAGATTGCGAAGTCCCTCACAAAATATATGTATGAAATACTTAGATTCCGGGACGGGTCGTTTTAGCAAATCTCACGGCCCTACCCCAAAATAATAATGCGCTAGTTGCTTTAGGCGCGCCTTTAATAATGTTATCTCCCTAAACTCGGGTGCACATTTATGTGACCCAAATCCAAATCTCGACGAAATCGAAATGTGTCTTTAATCANTGCGAATTATTTTGATTTTCGGGTCCGTTTGTTGTCTCTTGTCAAAAGTCTGTTAGTTAGTTTTTAAACTTTTGCAATCCAGTTTGTTTTAATTTGAAAGTTGGAAATTCCAAAAAAAATGTTTGTTTATTATTGTTTATCTTTTATTGGTCCGAACTACGCAAGGTCTGATTAATGCGGGGACATGATACGTAGGCAATCTCCATAAGATTCGACCACCACTAAAAAAAATAATAATAAAAAAGAATAAATAAATAAAGGAAAGTGTGGGAAATTTTCAGAGGGGCACAATTGTCTGACTGCTTAGGTGCATTGTATCTCTGATATATGATTGTCTGTCAAATGCCCTAACACTAACGTTGATGGCTTCCCTTTGCTGTGTTCATATATAGAAAAGTGGTTGGTTGTGGTATCTCTTCCCTGCAAAGCAAAATCAAAGGACAATGGCTCAGAACTGCAAAACCGAGTGGGTCGGTATCGATGACCAACAACAATTGGTCGAACGGAATAACGGGTTGGTAGAGGAAGTGAAAATGCTGAGACAACATGT